ATTATGAGTATTTAGGTAAATAAGCTCCTATTGAACTAATTTGGGTTAAGAGATATATAAGAAAAATGATCACGACATAATCAAAACAAATGAAATTTAACAAAATTATTATAATAAGGTTTTTCTCAAAAAATAAATATCTACCCGCCTTGGTACATTTTGCAACCATTTATTCAATATTCCGGACTTTTGTTACACAGTGTATGTCACTATACATAATAAATGAAACATTTTATTCAACATTAACTGCTATATTTAATATACATATAATAACATACATATTTTTATTATTAATATATCAAAAATATTTTATCAGATTGCATTAATACTAATAATCGATATGGAAAATTTATCTGAAGCATTAATAAACAATAAATAACTCTCATTATTTGTGACTGATGTGGTGATATTTTTCTAAATTATGTCATTATTTTTATCGAGAATTTGTCCTTAAAAATACTGATTAAAGTTTAGGTAGTTCCCCTCTTAAAATGTTTTAAAAGTGAAAAAGATATTCTATTGTACCGTGTGTTCAAATGAGGAAGTAGGTACTTCGACCAGATGTCAAGAATAACCCAGAGACTGTTCTTTATTTTTTATTTCACAATTTGCTTCAAGATATCGTCCCAACTATAAGAACTGTTTTTTTTTTTCAAAAATTAATTATAAGGTAAGCTACAATAGTTTCATTATAATCCTGTCTAAAATTTGTGTCAGTTTAGTAACCTTCTGTTTGAGATACATCTCATTAAATAACGGCAAGAAAAAATGGGTAACATTGTTAAAAAAAATGCTCATAACTTCGATTTAGTTTAATCAAACTATTTAATGAGTAGGAGGAAAATTTTTCTCTTAATCATATTTTCATTGTATTGACACAATGTTAAGGGCAGATATACTGTCCAAGATTATAAATTAATATCAAATTGTTGTAAGATTGAATGAAATTATGAATTAAATGAATTAAACTGATCTAAAATCTTCTGGTCTCTTTTGTCCTTTTAGGACTTTTAACGCCATCTACTAGAGAGAGGCTGCGGCATACACAGCAGTGAGTAGACAGTATTTAATATTTTTACGTGTCTTCAAAACATACTTGTAGAGTGAGACAAACAGAATAGAAACATTATCGAATCCTCCCAAGTAAACTCTGATTAGTTAGCAACTCTCACTCCCATTTCATGAACCAATTAAATTCAAGATCAATGATGCGTTGGGTCCAAATTTGTAAATAATGTTAACTGTATATGTAAATAGATAAAATAAGTTACCTGGAATAATGCAAAAAAAGTTTTGTTGTTTCTTCTAGATTTCTGTTTAATTTAATGACATTTTTGCATTGAAAAGTTCAAACCCTAAGAAATATGAAAAAAAAAACTTTAAAAATCATCTTTTTATACAACGATTAACAAAAATAGGACTATTTTTTATAAAACACAGCATAAACTAAGCCAGTGGTATATCCGCTTATCGATAGATGGCGCAAATTTTCTTAAACAAATTTGAAATCTACGATCTATAAAAGTCGCCATATTGCAGTATTCAAAATTCAAATTAAGAAACATATTTTATTATTTTTGAATTAGTCCATTTATTTTGCACCAAATAAATCATACAGAGTTAAAGATTAGAGAAGATTTACAGGGTGTTTGTAAATAAGTGCAAAATATTTTAGGGGGTAGTTGCCGAAGTTATTTTGTGAAAAAGAGTTAATATAAACGTAGGTCGAAATATGCTTCGTTTCCGAGATACAGAGTGTTTAAATTTTATTTATTTATTTATTTATTTATTTATTTATTTATTATTTCAGAGTTTTAAAGATATTGACTCGAAATTTGATGGTTGTATTTTATTTAGAAATATTGACAGCAACCTACTAGATAATGTATCAATAGAAATTAGTGCATCCTACGAAAAAAATTGAAGAGACCAAGTGCATTCAGAATCGATGACGGATTTCTAAAAAAATATCAAAACAGTAAAAAGGCTGTGGCGTACCATTTTTTCATTAAAAAAGTTTATGCCATTCTCGCACGCACGATACTGGTGCATGTAGAAATATTCGAATCACCCCAAAAAATGTACATTCATCCCTCCAAAGCGTTTTTCAAATTTTTAGTTTATATCTAATAGTCCACGGGCCCACGTACAAAGAAAAAATTGATTACCAGCAAGCTGTAACTTTGCGTGCAGCTTAAGTTTGACGAGTCGCCCAAGATTTGACTACGAGGAAAATTCAACAGTGGTAAGTTTTCCCGTGATTTTCAGGAAAACATGTCAATCTGGCATAAACATGGAATGTTATGACCAGCACTTTTTTTTTTAAGTTTAAATAAAAGATATATTTTTTAAACCCCCCAAAAAATTTGTCCGACAAAAATGGTATTTTGAGTTTGTCCCCCACCCCAAATATGTCGATTTGGTGACATTATGGTTGGTGACAACCAGCAAGCTGATTTTTCTGGGAGGATTTGGTAATAAGATTTGAAATGAAAGTATTCTTGAGAAATTTTCGCAGTTCGACGCCCCGAAGATGTCGACTTAACGACAACATGGTTGGTGATAACCAGCAATCTGGTTTTGATTTTTTTCTCTAATAATTGAAATGTATAACACAATAATATACTTGTTCGCCAAAAAAATTGGAAAATTGGCCTTAAAAATGGGAAAAATAACTATTTTTGCGGTACCTAATGTTCATTCCGCTACAAAATAATTAATTTTTTAATGAAAAAATAAGAAAATTATCTTGTTAATAGGAGCAACAGAAATTTAAATTCATGAATAATTATATCTAACTAATTGAATTAATCTCCATCAAAATGATTTCTTTGTTCAAAAAACTTATATGTACATTTTATTTTATAAACTATTGTAACTATTTTATAAAAAATGGTAACTGTATAGGTACATAAATTTTTGCTTGTGATTTTGTAAATTAAAATTTGCAATCTTGTTTTGACAAACAGTTTACACATAGTTTTGTTCTTGAAAAACCAATTAAACAAATTTTAAACCAATTTTAAAACTATTATACAATTATCAACGCGTTTATTAAAAGATTGTCTTGTTGTAAAGTATAATTCCTTAACGCGAAATGACTTTGCAGCATTTAAAACCTGCTGCCAAAGTTCTTAACAGGTGTTTATAGTTTCTCCATAACTGATTTCATGTAACCCCAAAAACGGAAGTCTCGGCATTCCATCTCACATTTATGTACATACAATTTAAATTAAGATGTAATTTTAGGTATGAATAATACTTATTGGACAGTAGCATACAAATGACAGCAATAAGACAAGTGGAATATGTCAATTATTTGATTTTCGTCCAAACTTAAGAAACTTCACCGCTAAATTAATAATAGGTAGGTACTTCATTGTAATTTAATTCAACGGCATTGGAAGTTTCAAAGCTAAATATCTCGAAAACGGTGCGAGACAGCTAGTTTTATAAAGTGTAGCTTTTTTCTGTAAAAAAGTTGGAAAGTAGGAATTTGATACCAAAGATGAGATACCTTAAAGTATAAAAAAGTTATGTCGTTTTTAACACATTCAATCTACTGCAGCTAGCGCCCTCTATGAACTTTAACCAAAGTGTGAACACATTTCAATTCCCCTACTTAAAGAACTCTAAGAATGTCTTTGACTATCAACTTTTGGACTAAGGTAAGTTCGGTTATATCGAAATATTTTTGCTTCGAGAATCTACCCATGAATTTTGACCTATTAGCTCGGGACCACCCTGTATACAATTTTTTTGTAATTGTATAAAAAAATAAATTTAAATTAGTCATATTTATTTTGAAATTTGAGAAATTTAAACAAAATTTTTTTTATTCATAAATTTTTTTTATTAAATATAAATTTTTCTTCTACATCATGCATAAGTATTGAAACCGCAAAATTTTATAGTTTAATTTTGTCGGACAAGCAAAAAAAACCGATAATTTTGTCGGACAATTAAATTCTCAGATTAATATTGCATTTTTTTAAATAATGACGCTTTTGTCCGACAGCTGGTTATCACCAACCATGTTGTCGTTAAGTCGACATCTTCGGGGCGTCGGACTGCAAAAACATCTCAAGGGTTTTGTTGGACAATAAAATACTTTCATTTCAAATCTTATTACCAAACCCTCCCAGAAAAATCAGCTTGCTGGTTGTCACCAACCTTAATGTCACTAAATCGACATATTTGGGGTGGGGGACAAACTCAAAATACCAAAATTTTTGTCGGACAAATTTTTTTTGGGGGGGGGGGTTTAAAAAATATATCTTTCATTTAAACTTAAAAAAAAAGTGCTGGTCATAACATTCCATGTTTATACCAGATTGACATGTTTCCCTGAAAGTCACGGGAAAACTTACCACTGTTGAATTTTCCTCGTAGTCAAATCTTGGGAGACTCGTCAAACTTAAGCTGCACGCAAAGTTACAGCTTGCTGGTAATCATTTTTTTCTTTGTATGTGGGCCCGTGGACTATAATCTTTTTGAAATAATTAATAAATCTGTATCTCGGAAACAAAGCATATTTGGACCTACGCTTATATGAACTTTTTTCACAAAATAAATTCGGCAACCACCCCCTAAAATATTTTGCACTTATTTCCAAACACCTTGTATAATTGAATTACTGTGAAAAGTAGAAGCATATTGCATATTGGTATGTCTCAAGCTAAATTATTTAGTGAACTGCAACAAAAATTGAGAATTCGTAAATTATATGTCACTGATTAATCCGTTTTAGTAATTTGTGCAAAAATTAGTAGGTAGGTCTCAAAATTATACAGGTGAAAACTTTTCTTTGAATCGCAGGTCATAGTAAAAATCAAATGATCACCTGAAACAGGGTGAAATTTCTCCTACTTTTCGTAATTTAAAACTTATTGAATTCAAGTTTCATGATAAATTTTGCTACTTTTACTAAATATATCATACATGCCATTATATTAAATTGGTACGTAGGATAATGGAATATCAAATAAATAAATGCACTCTGCGGTAGAAAATTCAGTCTTTATTCTACGTGTTTATCATAAATAAGTAGAAATAATTTCAATAAAAAAAGTACAAAAATTAAGCACTATGTTACTCATGAAATAGAACAGAATATTATTTGCTACACACACATGAAATTTAAAAACCATCTCTTAAGAAACTACAGCTACCATCTGTAATTCCTCAAAAGACAGACAAAAAATTTCAGACTTAACCTACATACTTAATATAAATACTAAACAATTACTTATTATTTTACGAAAGTAAAAAGTTCAAAGAAAACTCTACAGACTAGTTAACGACACTCTAGCGTGTTTCAAATAATATTAGATTCCATTAAAATCATACTCATAGCCGTTGACAAAGTCTTGGATCATGTCTCAAGATATAAAAAATGAGCAATTTAATAATATGGTCTGTTACTGCAGCAGTTGGGGACTGATTTGGAACTATCAGAGATATTTGTCTAGTATATCCGACAGTTGCAGACTGCTGCAGGAACAAACCTATAGTTTTACGATGTTTACATATAAATAATTCTTATAAAACTCTTTAAAAGTAATCAGGGTGTTTTCACTTTTTACTTTTTTACTTCCTTATATCTTTGGCCATGATGCATCTTTGTTTTGCCTCGCAGTTTCAGACTCTAATAAAATAAACAATAAAAAACTGGTGGTGGAATACGAGTGACAGAAAAAAAAAACACAATTAACAGTTGAAATCATCTCCAGCAGCTTCTTCTTCGGCTTCGTACTCGTCGTCAGCAGTGGCCTCCTGGTATTGTTGGTATTCGGACACCAAGTCGTTCATGTTTGATTCAGCCTCAGTGAACTCCATTTCATCCATACCCTCGCCGGTGTACCAGTGCAAGAAAGCCTTACGCCTGAACATGGCCGCGAATTGTTCCGAAATCCGTTTGAAGAGTTCTTGAATGGCGGTGGTGTTTCCAATAAACGTGGACGACATTTTCAGACCTACCGGTGGGATGTCGCACACAGCTGTTTTTACGTTGTTGGGGATCCACTCGACGAAATAGCTGCTGTTCTTGTTCTGGACGGCCAGCATCTGTTCATCCACTTCTTTCATGGACATTCTGCCTGTATAATGGAAAACAGATCTAGTCAGACATCATGTCAAATTATGATATGTCAATGATATTAACGAAGCAATCAATAATTATGGAATATCAACAATATGCTCTAAATGTAGGTACATATGAACACTGAAGAAATCATAGACTGTACAAGTACGTAAATATATTGTGCACCCATTTTTATATTTATCTATATAAGCAAAAGGAATAATAGACATATAGATAAATACAAAATATAGGTATACAAGGAAACCATACCACTTGCTTTTAGTCCTTTTGCCTACACAAATTCAAGTAATAGGTATAATATTAATAAGCAAATATGTCTAATATAATGAAATTTACAAGTAACAACAAAGTGAGGGTAACAGGAAAAATATATTATTATATTATTATACTCCTGGTTTGTAGTTTAACCTTCATCATTCATGCTTCAAGTTGTGTGAAAACAATTGCAGAATTAAGAATAACTTAAAAAAGTCAATATATCTACATTCTATGAAGTTTAGTAGAAAAGTAGTTGAAAAATAAATGCCAAAAGTTCTGATAAAATTGCATTCATATTATTAATAATTGATACTGATATAATTTTATATTATAGATTAAATATATTGATTTGCTTTTTTAAAATTACAGAACAAAACATCGATTTCTATATTATTTTGTTTTTACTTTCAAATAAAACAATGAGAAATTAAATTTATTATAAAAAAAGTGACTTCTGGCTATGCGATCTATGAAATAACATCAGTACGACATTTTCTGTTGTATGTGTCTTGTTGTAGATATAATCATAACATTCATAACTTTTTGCAATATAGTCCAGTCACTGAAGGCGAAAATAAGGTAAAAGCTCCCAAATTTTTCGGATAGCATGGATTTTCCTGAAAATTTGCATACAAGCTCATCGAACTTGTCTAGATGTGTGCTTTTTTCTATTTGGGGATAAAAACTACCCTTGTACGAAAAAAATGCGAAAATCGCAAATTTACGTACTTTAAAGATTCAATTCATGTTCAAATATGTGGGATAAAGTTCCTTTCGTGTTTTTTAATATAATTTATGAAATTTAATTACTTTTCAACCCTTAAAAATCCTAAAAATTACCCTTCCATGGCCAAAAAAATTGAAAAAAAGAAGTTTTTAACAGTTTAAAATATTCTTTTGGTGTACTCACAATGTGCATTTCTTTTGTTATTCATCTCATTCAAAGTTGCAACCCTTAAAAACCATCCCTTATAATAAAATAAACAAAAAAATTATTGAAAGCCTGAGATGTTTTAATGGTATGCATATGTTGAATTATAAACTTTTTATTGGTTTTCAAATGATCTATGATATATTGCAACTTTTCAGCCACCCAAAAAACCTGTATGGAAGACCTACCCCTCATAAAAAAAAATTATGAAAGCACTGCATTGCATGTAGCGCATGCACTTTATCTAAGTAATGCTGCCAACCTGTGCGTATATAGAATTTCTCGCTTAGTGCCAACCTAAATTCGAGGCCTCGGCCAATTTCCGAATGTACACATACATACATGCAGTGACTATAATTCTTTTTATAGTGACTGATACATGTGAATTCGGATACGTGTGTGTATGTATATTATTAAAATACTTACTCAATTCAGTTCACAAGTGCTAAGTGCTCCAAAATACACAAAGATGATGATAATTTATCCGCACCGAAAATTTTACCAAAAAAATGCGATTATTTTTTTTTACCTTAACTTTTGTAATTTTAAAGTTATACATTTTCGCAAAAAAAACATTTGGTAGGAAATTTAAAGCACTTTAAGTTCTGTGATTTGCAGTTTTTTTGAGCTCTTCGTTTTTTAGATTTATAAGATAAAAGGGCTCAGGAAAGGCAGTCTTGGAGTTTAGTTCTGAGCTTCTAACGTTCACAACTCAGTCAAATTTTGCCCTACAAAAATTTTTAAAAAAGCAAATTGTTCAGCAAGAAAAGCCTACAATTTCTTATTCTATAACTTTGATAGTTTTTGAAATAATTTGAAAAAGGCGCTTTTTTAAAAAATTGAAAAATTTTATTCAAAACTAAATGAAATATTTTTTTAAATTTAGTCTTCTAAAATTCCCAGAATTTACTGTTAATACATAAAGTAAATTTCAGAAGAAATACGATTAATTTTTTTTCCGTCAAGTCAATTTTAATTTTTTCTCAAAAATCAAGACATTCATTTTATTTTGATTGCAACTTCATTAGTTTTCATGCTAACGACTTTTACCACCACTCAATTTAAAGGTCTTTTCAAGAACTTTAATACCTAAGTGTTATATAAGTTTTCCTCATTTTCACTATGATCATTTTTTTGATAAAACTTGTAGTTTTTGAGATAATCGCGAAAAATAGCCCAAAAATGGGGTAAAAACGAACATGTTTAGGTACAAATAACTCAAAAAGTATCGACTGAACAAAAAATTATTATAGAACATTTTTTGCTTAGAATTTGTTCCTCTATCGAATCGTTTTTAATAAAAAAAAAATCCCACCCCCCAGAAGGGGTGGCATCCACCCCTAGGGTAAAAGCACACATCGGCACTATGTAACTTTTGTTTCTTGGGCTATTTCCTAGCTACAGTTCAAATTTCACGTCAATCCATTCCATCCGAAAAATTGGTAGCCAAAATGCTATGTGATTCATTACAAATTGTAGACATTGATATGTACATACATAGACGCCGAAATATCAGGGTTCTTCAGCTCCAGAACGATTTTATTTTGAAGGTATCAAAATGAAAGGAGCATCTTTATTTATACAAAATGTAGGATGTAACACAGATAATATACGTAACTTTTGCCCCGGAATACGTAGAAAGAATTATTTTCCATTATTTTTTATTGTTGTAAAAATTTTTCAGTTACAAATAAATTAATTTTAAATATAATATCCAAAAACTATAAGCAAAAAGTAAGGAGGCATTCTACTCATAAATGTAACAGTAATATCGATCGTTTTTAAAAAAAAAAGTTTTTCTGTTTATGTATGCGAAAGTAAGATATTCCTGAAGCCACTTAGTCAAACTGTTTTCTATCCCATATTATTCTTTCATTCGTTTTTTAAGACGAAAATGAAAGTCTCATTTCAGTGTCAAAGTGTATCTGGTTACAAAATACGGTTTTTCATTAATATTTGTCTTAACTTTTTATCAGTTGGGCATTTTTTTGGGGTAAAAATTGCCTTTATTAAGTTCATAAACATAATTTTTTTATGTACATTTTATATTTTAAAAAAGTAACTTGATATTATAAAAAATATTACCTACATAAGATCCTCCTGTGCCAAGTAAAAACAAATTTAATTAGTTAAAATTTTAAACGATTTAAAGATAAAACAACATTATATTTATTGCTGTTATAACCTTTAAAATCTTCCAAATCACTGAATTACATTGCTTAATTTTTAAAAATTGCAAGATTTAAAAGCAGTAATAACAATAATTGTGCTGTTTTTTTCTCAGAAACGATTATAATCGACTTGAAACTAGAAAACCTTTTATATTTTTTATGATCTTTAATGTAAATTTAATTCCTTGATGAATTATGATCAATTTTCTTATCAATAAACATCACTTAAACCCTTAGTGCTTCAATTTCTCAATGCAGTTTATTATCAGTATTAATTATTGTACGTAATACGAAAAAATACCGTTTGACTGAAAAAAAAACATATGGCATAACATTAACTCGAAAAGATAACTTAGAGAACCCTTAGTGCTTCAAATTCTCAATACAGTTTATTATCAGTATTAATTGTACGTAATTAATACAAAACAATATCGTTTGACTGAAAAAATAAACATATGGCATAACATTAATTCAAAAAGATAACTTTGAGAACCCTTAGTGCTTCAAATTCTCAATACAGTTTATTATCAGTATTAATTGTACGTAATACGAAACAATATCGTTTGACTGAAAAAAAACCATATGGCATAACATTAATTCAAAAAGTTAACTTTGAGAACTCTTACCATTATTTTTATGATTAAAGTTGCACCTTATTTTTTTTTGCTTAGAGTTTTTGAACATCCTGTATTTTACTGTTATTTACGATTGCGCCCACAGCATATTAGAAGTTCAGGGGCCTAAGGATATGTATATTATTTTGATGGACATAGTTCAGTATAGTTCAGTATACAATTGGTTTGTTAAAAATCTCTTACTCTTTTTAAATGAAATCTTATGCAGAACTTGAAAGCTTTGTAGCTCGAAAAAGACCTTCCAGACAACCTATGCAAATTTCAATATTAACAAAGCCAGCGGTTTGTAAGTATTAATTACATTTTTTTTATTTAAAATATACTCAAATTTCATAAAACTTGTATATTAACTTTCTAAGTTTAAGATGAAAGATAGGTACAACTGTGACCATCTCAGGTGTCAGTCAAACATATCTATCAGATATGTTACTTGCTTCGTATTAGGAGTGTACATTTCCTTTTATTTTTACAATCTAAAAAATGAATTGTCAGTTTGTATTATGAGGCTGGCCATCCGCTATAACCATATATGGCATGAACATGGCCATAATTTGTTAATTTATATGAACATAGTTGTACTTTCACATCGGATAATTGATTTCTAAAATTTTTATTTACTGGGGTTATTCAAGCGCAAACGCCAGTATTTATAAGTTAACTGCAACTTTGTCTGACTTTGTGAGATGCAGAGTCATCATGCGAGAATGATAGACTCGACTTTACCTTTTTTGTTTTTGAAGATATAATAAAAATAAAAAATCTTTTATTCTGTAATTTTTCAAGAGGAATAAATTTTTTATTAAAAAAAAACATTAAGCATCGGATTCTAGAGATATAGACATCAACCCTGTGCATTCTTACCTATCTACTCTATCTATTTTTTTATCAATGATTCGCATATTTTAATATGTCATTCCAAACAAATGCGCCTAACGATCCCCCGAGAACAAAAATTTTAAATTTTAAAAACGTTTTTTAAATGAGGTTTGATGTGAACCCAGCAATATTAAAATATTGCCAAAGACACGTGATTTTCTAATAATTTTTCTCAGATTTCGGTCCACAAAAATGTTACATTAGCCTTTGATCAGAGAAATAAAATGTATTGTCTTCTATAATATAGTTCTTGTGCTATAACTTTTAACAAATTGCTCAAATATAAAATTATTAAAACAAGAAAAGTACAAGCATGTTATAGCTCTAGTTAATATAAATAAGGCTATAACCTCGCCATTTTGAAAGTAATCTTCTAAACATATTCAGATATTGGAAGCTAAGATTCCTACAAAACAAGCTCCTTATATTTCTTAGAGGAGAAAAATGATTTTTTCCAAATTTCTGTCAGAGCATTTTTCTTTGGCAATTTTAATAGATGTAAGGCTTTCTAAACCCAAATCTAAATTGATAAATTTCAGTTATCTCTCATCTAAACTTAGTTTTGATAACCAGCCGTCCAAAGAAAGTTGATATTGCTTTGTTCGGAAGGAAATAAAACCCTTGATATACTTCTATACGCTTACACTATACCCATGAGAAATATGTTGCATTATATAAAATGGCTTAAAACATGTTATAAATGTGAATTTAGGTCTATTTTTTGATTTCAGGTTTATTTATAACGTTTTAAAGGTATTGTCTTGAAACATGCAGTCTTAATTTTAGCCGAAAAACTAGGATTCTTCTAACGTAGCCTATTTAGTTAGTTTTTATTATCCTTTTTCTTTTAAAACCGATTGCTTTTATATTCTCAGAAACAACCATTTTTGTTCCAATACCATAACAAAGCTTAATGTAGTTCCCAGTTGCGAAAATAATTGTAATATAATATACAGGATTATCTAAAAACGAATGTAAAAAATTAGGGTGTTAGAGCATTTAAAAGAATATTTTTTTCCTAAGGACTATGGTCCTATTGTCTGAGACCAAAGCTCGCTAGTTACTACCTCTTCAAGTGATATTTTGTGGCATAACTTTTTGAGGTTAGGTTTTCTACAGTGTGTTTGAAACACCGCACATAATACATTAGTAGGTATATAACATTTTCAATTTTAGATTTTTCTTTTACAAAAAATAATGTATTGCATTAAAATTTGGTACATGTAAGTTTTTGAGGGTGCTAAGTACATCACGGATGTTAGCTGTTGATCCTCTGTTAGAGGTCGCTAGTTACTGCGTCTCCCAGTGACATTTTATAAATATCTTTTTTGAGGTTAGGTTACATGCTTACAAATGCCTAAAATGACTAAAAATACAATTTAATACAATGTTTATTGTATTTATCTCCATTTGAGTAAAGAACCATTTTTGATTTGTGTTAACACGCTTCTAATAATGTTAAACGTCAAACTTGTTTGTTTTCAAAGCCTTCTCAATCAGAAAACATATATCGTTGGAATTTTGAAAATTTATATTTTCCGCAAATTTACACAAAAAATAATAATTAAAGTATAAGTATATATTTTTCAAGTGCATTTTTAGTCCTCTTTCCGTTTTTGAAATAAAGTAAATAAAGTTCCATATTAAAAAACACAAGTTGTGGTCATATCACAAAAACTAAAAATATTATCACATTTATTTTTATGCCATCGAACGTATCTAAAAAAAGTGCTTGTAGAATGTTCAAACCGTTTTAAAATGTATTGATAAGAGGGAGACGAGAAGAGGGGGCCAGTCGGTTTAGCCAAAAATCGAAAAACGCCCTGTAGCTCTAAAAAGGTAACAGATAAAGAGATGTGATTTGCGCTATTGTTATTTTCTGATGCCGATGAATGTATAACACCTTATAGAACAAAAAGATTTGCTCTCCTGATTTTCGGCTTTAGCGTCATTATTGTATATACAGGGTCGGAAAGTCCCCATGGTTCATCCGGCAGATCCACTTCTTATTTGTGGAAGGGCGAAATGGGCGGTGACTATTAGACGCCTTCATTATAGCCATCTTTCTCTATCGCACGGATTTCTATGACTTACTTTATCGCTCTCACGTAACGGCCGATGAACCATGGGGACTTTCCGACCCTGTATATTGAACTATAGTTTTCGAAAGTTTTATCACTTTTTGTTTGTAATTGACATTTTTACAGCAACTCTAAAAAATTGACGTTTTATACCGTTTTTTCAATCTCACGGCTTTGTTATTACAAATTTCGTGATCGGACCACCGCCATTTTGTAGCTATTTTTATTACGAACAAAATCATGTCCTAAGCATTTTTTTCATACAAAGTCATTCCGCTGAGTTATTTAAAAAAAAACTACTAAAACAAATTTTTCACTATTAAATTGTTAATAACTTTTTTTCCTGATAAAATACTTTGTTAGCCTGTTATTAGACTCATCATTTAAAGTAGGCCTTTGTAGTTATTTCCGGGTTATTAAGATTTGACACAGGCCGAACCTCTACCAACTGGACTATTTCATAATAATACTGAATTTTACCTCTAAATACAGCAGCAACGGTGAGATACCGTCCATGCCTGGGGTCACACGCGGCCATCATATTCTTCGAGTCGAACATTTGCTGGGTGAGCTCGGGAACAGTCAACGCCCTGTATTGCTGGTTACCCCTCGACGTCAGCGGCGCAAATCCGGGCATGAAGAAGTGCAGGCGGGGGAAGGGAACCATATTCACCGCCAACTTGCGAAGGTCAGCGTTCAACTGCCCTGGAAACCTGAGACAAGTCGTCACCCCGGACATTGTAAGGGACACTAGATGATTCAGATCGCCGTAGCTGGGGTTGGGCACTTTGAGGGTCCTGAAGCATATGTCGTACAGGGCTTCGTTGTCTATACAATACGTCTCGTCGGTGTTCTCCACCAACTGGTGTACGGATAGGGTTGCGTTGTAGGGCTCCACCACGGTATCCGACACCTTAGGGCTAGGCATGACCGAGTAAGTGTTCATTATCCTGTCCGGGTACTCCTCGCGGATCTTCGAGATGAGGAGGGTACCCATTCCAGATCCGGTACCTCCGCCAAGGGAGTGGGTTAACTGGAAGCCCTGCAGGCAGTCGCAGTTCTCTGCTTCTTTGCGTACCACGTCCAGCACAGCGTCCACTAGCTCTGCGCCTTCCGTGTAGTGGCCCTTAGCCCAGTTGTTGCCAGCGCCTGATTGGCCGAAGACGAAGTTGTCGGGGCGGAAGAGTTTTCCGTAGATTCCTGAACGTACTGCGTCCATGGTGCCGGGCTCCAGATCCAGGAGGATGGCTCTGGGTACGTATTTGCCTCCGTTGGTACTCGAGGCCACTGCAATTGAAAACGAGTTTTTAGTTACTTGATTCAATGGCGCTTCTAATAAAAAACTATTAAGTGCACTCATCTTTCGTATGAGTTTAGTCTACTTAAAATTTATGTGTTTCTAATTATAAAAATACAAAGTGAACATTAAATGGATATGCGTATTTTAACTGTGGATATAATTCGCTCTGAAAATTATACCAGTAAAAGTAATTTTTCAAAATTACAAATATTCATAAATATATTTTTTTAATCCGTCTGGAGATGTATTGACCAAAAATGTAAACTCAACGTTTCTTTTGAGAACTTGCACTCTCCGAAAAAATAAAAATCAAAATCACAATCAGCAGTGTTAAAATTACAAGACCGTTCTATGAATTAAAAGTAAATTGAATCCGCGTATTTTCCAAAAATAGATTCGTAAAAAAATTGTAGCAGGTATACGATTTGCAATTTTGGGGATGTTATGGTTTCCAAATATGTGCATTCTATGAGCTTGTTTAAAAATAAATAAGTATTCCATTTGAGTAATTTTTCTAGCACAAGTTAAATAACTCGATATTTCAATTCAGAAAATTTAGAAAAGCATGTAGTAATATGTTTTCAATTAGTCTATTAATCTATATGATCCTGTAATCTTGTCTAACCTTTGTATAGTAAGTGTTTTTTAACATATATTCTTAGATCCTTAGACCAGCGAATCTGTTTTAAGATGGATGTGAGAGGGGCCAAGCAAATTTTTTTTGGATTACCTTCAGTACAACTCGCATAATAAAAGTGTAGATCCCTAGATTTGGGCGAGGTCCGGAACATTTTCAAAATTGCAAAAATGTTTAAAAAATAATCAAGTTTTTTGGAAAATTTTTTAAAAATATTTTAATGGCTCCAAGGGCATTCTAATTTTGGTAAAAAAAACTTTAGAGTATAATAAAACAACACGGCAAATTTCATTAAAATCGGTTCGATAGTTTTCGCAAAATATATATATTTTTTTATTTTAAAAAATAAGATTACATTTATCAATTTGTAATTTAGTTTTTTTCAAAAATTATAATTCTAAAGTACTATTTTTTCTTAATTTTATCTGTATTTAACAAAAAAATTAATTTCCAAATAAAAAATTTTGTTTTTAATTTGTTTAAACAAAAATTATTTAAATAATTGTAATAATGATAACTAAATCCATTCATATTCAGTGTTGAAATATATACGTAAACAAATTTTTTCATTGAAAAAATGCAATAGCATAGGGTAAAATATACAGTATATTTAATGCATAAATAATAAACTTTTTTCAAAATTTTTTTCAAAAAATTATTTTGCGAAAACTATCGAATCGATTTTAATGAAATTTGGTGTGTTGTTTTATTATACTCCAAAGTTTTTTTTACCAAAATTAGAATGCCCTAGGAGCAACTAAAATATTTTTAAAAAATTATCCAAAATACTTGATTATTTTGCCTTTTTTAATTATTGCTATTTTGCAACATCGGTAATAAATTAAACATTTTTAACTTACATTATATTATGCAAAATTCAATTTTAAAACTTTTTTTCCTCTTCAATATTTTTCCAAAATGCATGATATAAGTAAAAAACTCAGATAAAATGGGTATTTTTAAAATTTTTTAAACATTTTTGCAATTTTGAAAATGTTCCGGACCTCGCCCAAATGTAGGGATCTACACTTTTATCATGTGAGTTGTACTGAAGATATTCCAGCAAAAATTAGCTTCTCTTACATCCAAAAAGTGGGATATTTGGACAGATCCGCCCTGGTCTATCTATATTTAGCGCTACTATTTAGTATTCACAATTGTGTTATGACATATTTTGTTTGAACATATTTATTAGTAAACTGAATCCGGTTCTGTTAAGAGATTAGTATTCCCGAACTCTGTGCTTTATGACCATTGTTTCTCGGATGGGAGAGGCCACACAACGCTGACGGACTGATGTACTTGTTCCGATTTGTTATTTTCATGGACGGTGTTTTTCTTTTAAGTTTAAATTTAATTTTAAGCCTTTAAGTTTAAATAAGATGTGTATTCAGCTACTTGATGTACATATTGATTGTTCTGCTTTTAAGTTTGCTATCAATTTCATAGCCATCCTCGCAAGAAATTATATAATTTTAATAACTTATCACAAAAACCGCCCATAACAGAAAAATTATAAGAGATAGGTATAGGGAAGGGTAATATGAATAGATAGAGAGTAAAATTCTACAACAGATTTTGATTGGGTGTTCCATTTAGAAAAAAAACAAGTTTTCGCTGTTCGAAGTTAAGCAAATTCGCCAATAAATTTTCACTATCCTATGTAAAATTAAGCAGTTTTTAAAGTAACTCTAATAAATGATAGCCATCCCCCTATCTCCCTCCCAAATACCAATATTTCAGCTTGCCCTACGAAAAAAATAGTCATTATTGAATTAGGCTATCGAAAAACACCTTTTTTTGAAAGAACTGAAATATCTCGAAGACCATTAGAGATAGATATAAGGAAGCTTAATAAAAGTCCCCCTAAAATTACGCATAGAATCCAAATATGCACAAATATACAGAGTGTTTAAAATAAGCAAGCAGACGGCGACTTCCGGTATAACCGGAAGTGCTGCAACAATGGCATGGACAAATATTGATTAGGTAGGTATCTATTTTGTACCTACTTAAAAACATTGTTTGACTTCAATAGATAGGGTGTTTAGGAAGGTTTTGGATTTTATTTGAATTAGTTTAATACCTTTAAAACGAAACGAAAAATATGAGAGCTAATGATAAAATATATGAGATTATTTGTTAAGTGAAAATATCTCGACAGATACAACCCTTGAGTAATCCTTTTGTTGCAAGGATTTAACTGAATTTTTTCTCACAAATGGCAAAATACACAACTAAGCAAGAGAAAACGCCTCCATAAGGTGTTATTGTTTGAAAGAGGACAGCATAAACCTAAAACTTTTACAGTAAAGGAAGAGTTCTATTTTGATTTTATACTTTCTTGTTCCAATTCAAAACGTACAAATAACCCAGCCCAGATCTATCCGATGACATAATATTTGTAGTATTAGTTCTCTTCCAATATCAATGATTTATTGCTGGTGACTGACGAGTATGATAGAGTACCCGCTTAGAGTTATAAAAAAAATCTACTTCAAACAATTCCCCTTGAAATGTGATTATCAAATAATCCCATACAAATAGTTATTAATTATTAGTCGTGTGAAAACACCAGCTGTAGCGAAGCGAGGGGTTTTAGCCATAATTGCAGGTATTTACGTAAAAAACCGCAAGAAAAATATTTCAAATGCAGGCGTCGTCGTGGTGGCCCCCAAACTAAGACAGGAAACCGTACCAAAACGGTGACTCAGATCCACAATTATTGAAGTCACTGTTTAGGTCGTTACACTTACTTATAATATAATATCAACCCAAGAGCGAGAACTAGAAGTTAATTGGAGTGGAAAAATATATTTTACGATTAATTATTGTCCATTTAATAAAAAAATACAGCTCTGAAGAGAAATACTGATAGAGTTCCGTGACTTTGTGGTTCTGATCAGAATAAATATCGGTTAGGAATTCTACAGAGGTTTCGATGGATGAGGTCACTTCCCATTGTTTCTGTGTCTGCAATCTCTTATTAGTTGATAAGTATTAAAAATTAACAAGAAAAGAGATAAATGAGAGGCTTTTACTACGTCTTTATGTATAAATGCAGATCCCTTTTTAATGCGACGGAGATAAGAAATGTTATTTCGCCATTATTAGCTTCATATGAATTAAATAAAACTTGTAGAACATTCATTTTAAAAAACATTAAAAAATTAAAGCCTTTTTAGAACATAAATATAACTAAATTTGAATGGAGATACCTGTTTTGAGAAAATTTTATTTTATTATATTAAAGTTATTTATTTGTGGCACTGCTATAGTTTTTTCTTCATTTATTTGGGTATCTTGCCACCTACGAAAAAAAAAAATAAAAATAAAATTAATTTTTGGCTCAAAGATTTCGTTAATTTTTTTATGATTTCTTTTCACAGAAGGAAAAGTACCCAAAAAAATGCATTTTACTGTTGCTTCATCAATCGACTTTAAAAAAATGTTGGTAAGTATTATATGTTTCGATGGCCAGCTAGAATCTCGAAGCGGTAATTTTAATTTTAAAATAAAAATAATTCCAAATTTTTTAGAAAATATTCGAATGCAGATTTTTGTATTGATTTTTTAATAATTTTTTGGATTTTGAAAAAAT